AGCAGTTAGAATGTCTCCTCAATCCTTAAAATCCATCTGTGTAAAAGGTTTTTAAATTGTATTAAAATGCGTAAATACTACAAAAGAAAAAATAAACGATATTATCTGGTTCACGATGCTTAAATATTTACAATCCAAAAATCCCTTGTGTTTCCTCTTTCTGCCATATATGGCCGGCCAACGGCAGTTGTTGCCCTGTTTTTGACATCTGTACACTCTATTTTTTCATTACCACATATAGTAGGGATCAGTGTAAAATAACAAAAATAAAGATCAACAAGGCATAGGCAACGTTCACAGGACGCCGCCCCCGGACACACCCAAGCAGGACACCCAGAAGGGACCAAACAAGCACCCGGAGTGGACACAAGGGCGAGACATGTAATGTGAAATAATATAAACAAAAACAGGCCCATAAGGGAATTAAAGGGAAAAGGGCTGTACGGGTGAAAAGGTGGGGAGGGGGGTTAAAAATGGAAGGGGGGGGAAGAGAAAATACCTACCGTCAACGACAATCCAACGAGACAGACATCACAAAACATGTAAACATCCAAAAACAAGTAACATTACAGACAAGAAAAACACGTGAAGGAACACAAAGGGGTACCGCCTTGGAACGGTCAGTGGTAGTTAAACCACTGGGGAGTTTAAACCGGTTTTAGGCGTGCCATACCTCACTCTTAGCCCCAATATGTTCCTGAATGACACGAAAATGTCTATAAAATTAATCCCCGCCAAGTGAAATTCTAACAATGGGCATGGTTACATTAGACAAATTAAATAAAACACATACAAAATTATGTAAATATGTAGAAAAAGTTACTGCCTAATGACCATTACCAAAGTACTCGATGCCTTAAAGGAAGGCAGAGCAACAAGAAAATCACCTACAAAGGCCCGACGAAGCAAGGCAGAAGACGAACATTAAGACAATTCAGTCCCCAAAAGGCTTTAAGAACTGTCCATCATAGAGTCTCCCACTTGGTCCGTCAGATGTAATCAAAAGAGGAAAGCGTAGCGACCAACTGTAAAAGGGTTGAACACCAAGCATGCGGTATGCCTTAAAATAATTGGGTCATAACCTCTTTTAATAAACCGTTTGATAATTTTAGTGAAGACGGCAGAAAAATTACTATGACCCATGATCCTACGAAGTTTGTAAACCACATCTCCATAGAAGTCAGGCTTGGTAAGTCCTTGTCGTAAAAGAGTTTTTAAATTACAATTAAATTTTAAAACCAAGTCTGAATTACGATGGTAAAACTTAGTAAAATATTTACGCAATTTATGATAGCGATAACCTTGTTTAAGAAGTTTGTTAGTAATAAATAAATTGCGTTCATTTAAATCATCAACACGACTGCATGCCCTAGCAAATCTAATTAATTGAGAAATATACACCCCATATGATGTAGCATGAGGTACATCTCCATCTAAATGTAGGTAGTTAACAGTATTAAAATCAAAATCATCTCTTTTATCGTAGATTTTAGTTACTATAGTATTGTTAATGATAGAAATGTTTAAATCTAAAAAAGATGTAATAACGTCTGAAGAGTTAGTTTTATTCAATTTAAGTTCACTCAGATATATTTTAGAAACCAATTGATCGAAATAAGGATTATTCATGTTAAAAATATCATCTAGGTAGCGGAAGTGTTGTTAAATGCGTGTATAATTTCCTGATGCGAAATAGGGGAAAGACTTAACATAAAATCCCTCTCATAACAATAAAGAAATAAATCAGCTATCAGGGGGGCACAATTAGTTCCCATTGGAATGCCTATTACCTGTTTGAAAACTGTATTACCAAACCTGACAAAAATGTTATCTAATAAAAACGAAAGTGCTTTACAAACTTCGTCACAGGTCCACATTGTATATTGTTTAATGATAACATTGGTAAAGAAAGCCTTCTTTGAATTGCAAGCAAGAAACTTTCAAATGACCGCAAAATGGTAATCATATAAAAATTGTTTACAGTATAGAGCTTTACTCTCATTTTTACTAGTTAATCAAGTGAACGAAACAAATTAAAACCAAAACTCAAAAGGTGTTAGACAAATATTTGGTGTGTATCTTTTAAAATTTCGTAATTTGATAGTTTGTAAGTTATCTAAATTTTAGATTTCTTTAATTACAAAGAACTTGTGATTACAAATTGCAAAGCAACTTTAACTTTACAAGCTCGGAGTTTTCCTAGAAATATGGAAGCTCTCATTATTCTTTAAACATTTTTGGCGCAAAAAAAAAATCAAGCATTTTTTTATATTTTGTTCCTTATTAACAATAAGTGTAAATTAAACCCCAAAATATCTGCCCGGTTTTTTTTTTTTTGGGGGGGGGGTTGTTTTTCAGTTCTATATTCTACAAACATCAGATAAAAATATTGGATTCTTCTCATGATGGCACTATGGAGCATGGGCGATAGTTTGCAATAAACCCTACATGTCAATATACATCCTGATTCAAACAAAACCGGCGGCATTTTTTTCTGTTAAAGGCAACCATAATTATAGCTTCCTCAATAGATTATTAAACTTGTCATTGGCGCATCTTAACTTCACATCGTGAAATGTCAATTGATCGTCCAATCAAAATTTAAACAAATTCAATTGATGTAAATTGTTTAAACTTTTCTCATGTATCGAAAAAGAGCACGTGATTTTTAAAAACTGAACGAAAAGGAAGAGAAGAACGCAGATCGATGCTAAATAAGGATATAATAACATTGCAGTGTTTTCTTTAAAAAAAAGTTTTAGAAAAAATGAAAGTGTTCTGTTTATTTTCATTTTTGGTTTTAAGCTTATTCGGTGAGTAAATATAATTTATTTATTTAAATATATTATGCTTTTTAGTAGATTATTGATTAATCCGTGAAAATTATATTTGATAATTTCACAGTGAAAATTATCAAAATATAATTTCACACTTTTCAATGATGAGACTACTTTTTTAAAGATTTTCTTTATGCAGTACCTCACTTTTATTATTGTTGACAATTCTGACATTGTCAGGGCTGTTTAGAGAAAAGCAAAGCTGAAATTGATGAATAACTTAAATTTCAAAAGAAATAAAAAGAAGAAAACTTACTTCAATTCATTCAAATTACCAAACACCAAATATCGTCTCTAAATTTTTGTTTCATTTTTTTACAGTCTGAAAAATACAATTACTTCTGCATGCAAAACTGCTCTTGATGCCAACATTTGGGCATATTTAAGTATCCTACAAGCAATAACTGTCTTATAACTTGAAAAGCATTGAGAGACATCAGCCCGAAGAATAAGTAAACAACCCAGCGTTCGTAAGGCTGCCTTTCAAAAATTCCATTTTTTCCAATTTCTATCCGCTTTTTGAATGTTTTCACATCTGTCAACACTTATTTATTGTCTGTAACAATCCTCAAATAAGTTTTCTTTCTTATAAAAAGATATATGACTAACAAATTAAAATGATAGCCACAATTATTTTCCTCCCATGAAATACACAACTTTTAAAAATGGCGGCCGCTTACATTTCACAGAGCCAGTCTAATATAAATTCGCCGTAAGTAACAGAAATATGGGATGGATGTTTGACTTTTCTCCTACTAGAATTGTTTGTTTTTATTATTAAAACAAACGATCATTCATATTATTTGAATAAAATGAATTATATCATCGCCATTTAACGTTGATTGTCGAACTTATTTTTCAGCCCAAGACTTCTTGTATTTTATGAGAAATTCGACAAATAGAGGCTACCAGTGGGGAAAACAGATTTTAATATTAAAGTTAATATCATGGAAATTTTCTTTTAACTTATTTTAAATCATAAAATAAGAAGAAAATTTGTTTGTTTGCTGTGTAAGATGTAATTTCATTTCCTCTTGTGAACTTTAAAAACAGTATTCTCACTCAAGGCTACGCCACTCGTGAGAATACTGTTTTTTAAAGCTCACTCGATGAAATAAAATTTCATCTTAACAAAATTTCAAAATTGCCCCCGGTTTAAACAAATTGTCAAAAATGGTAAAAAAAATAAAGTTTAGAACTTTTTAAGATTATTGTAATAAGTTTTAAATTCCCCCAAAAATTCGCGGGGAGTTTTTTTTTTTTTCCCAAACTTTTTTTGGGTTGGAGGGAAAAAAAATCGTTTTAAATTTCACTTGAAATTATAAAAGATTTGGGGTTTTTTCCTTGCACAATGGCGTAAAAAGGAATTGAATTTTTTTGGGGGTTTTTTGGAAAATTGAATATTGTAAAGGATTGCCCGGGAAATTGTTTTAAAGTAGAATCCTGGGGAAAAGTTGCTTTTTAAAACCCCCTTTGGTAAAAAATGGAATTGTTATTTTAAACTGTGGGGAAAAATGTTCCCCCTTCTTGTAATTGAAATTTTGGGTTTCGAGTAAGCTGCAAGTCTGGACTATTGGCAAAAACCCCATTGTGAAGATTTAAAACACTTTGTCGTCAACCAGCATTTGTGTCAAGCTGGTTATGTGCAGTTCATAAGTTTAACAATGGCGTATGTGGGTTCTTGCAAAGATATATTATGGGGACCATACTGTCAAAACAAATGTAATCAGTCGTGTTTTCCTTCACAATGTCATATTGCGTCCGGCGAATGTATGAATTGCAGTTTTAATACATGGGGTAAGTTTTGTGAAAATGTGTGCAGCAAGTCTTGTCCATGGGGATGTAATAGGCATACCGGATATTGCATTAACTGTAAAAAAGGGTATTGGGGTAACGACTGTTCCAGTATCTGCAACATCTCAAGATGTGAACAATGCTCATTCATGAATGGTTTATGTATAGTGTGTCAACCAGGTTTTTGGGGGAACAAATGTCAGTTTTTGTGCAAGTCCGACAAATGCCTTCAATGCAACAAAGAGACTGGATACTGTAGTATATGTCCATCTGGACGATGGGGGTTACTTTTTTCAAACCCGTGTAGAGATGAATGCCCCTTTGCCATAAGTTTTGGAGCATGCTCTATTTTTTGCCCGCATTTTTTAGGTATTTTTACACATAAGAAGCTATACTAAGAAATAAGGGAATACAATTTTCAATTATATTTTATGTTAATTTTATTTGTCATTTTAAACGTAGATAATGTCAAAATCAAACTTGAACAAAGAAGTGAGCATCTGTTTTTCATTTATTAACAGCAGACCAGCATATAAATAAAAAATATTTTTCCTTTCGCGTGAATAGTTGCATTTATCATTAGTTGACATAAATATCATAAAATTATTTCAATATGAAGAAAATATGCTTGTATGTATTGTTTTCATACTTCCACGAAATGAATTAAATTTGATGATAATGCACTTATCTTTATATTCAAGAAAAGATTGGATATATCGAAGTAATGCATACAGTGAATGACAATATGTATAGATATGTTCTAAATTTTCATAACATTAAGATCAAATTATATCAAGAAATAATATTAAAGGTTACCAACGATATTGAAATTTGTGAAACTTCGTTAGTGTGAAATCAAAAATTGAACAATTTAGCAAAATATAAATATTTGGCAAAGTTACAAAATAACAAGTTATTTTACTTGATTAATATGTTATACAATTTAGTATTTTCTTCGTACTGATATTTTGTTCCCATTGATATTGAATATGTTATGAAAATTGAAAGTTGTTAGATTTTCAATAATTTCATTTTACTATTTTAGTTTCAACTACGTTTGTCATGTATTGAATATATTACAGACACTGACAAATCATCACCAGAAGGGGTACACGCGCTCACATTTATAGTGGCTGTGGTCGTCTGTTTTGTTATGATTGCTGTTGTAATTGCTACAAAATACATGTAATTATGAATTTATTGTTTAAAAAATCTAAATATTATGTTTTGTACTAAAACGTTTTAAAAATAATAAAAGATAAGATTACGTATTTCAAGTAAATTAGTATTAGTATTATATCTGTAGATTATAAGAAAATGCAAACTCATCTACAATATAGATCTGAATTTTGTTTCCAGATAACAAAGTTTTAGCTTTTGTATGAAATGAACTATTAATGAAAATATAATGAATTAAAATTTCCTAGTTTCTTCACTATCATATTTTTAATTATTATAACGGTTACAAACTATGATTTATGATGTTACACTTTAGACTGCTTAGAAGAAAGAAATGTCATAATGTACAGGCAGGATCGACAGGTAAACATATTAAAGTGTATTAAGCTTTATCTGTTGTAATGTTTTAAATAAGTTTGAAGAAAATAAAAAAAGTTAAATTAGAATGTTTTGATGATATTCTGATATATTTTTTTAAATATTTTTGATAAAGTATGTCTCTGTAATTTAGTATATGAATTGAACAAAATCTTCCGATGCTATTTTCAGTTGGTTTGGTGATAATTATAAGTATATACCATAACCTTTCAATAAAATATAAGGACACAATTCTTTCATTAATGAAATCTAATTAATTAAATTAAGAGAAAAATTGTATTTAAAATTTAATACATGTAAAACTATATACACGTAAAAAGTGAAACATAAACACAAACATTTTTAGCAATGACATAATGCAAATCAAGTTGGTAAATATTCATCAGTAATAATATAAAGCACATGTTTACAATAAGCACTCATGACAATTCATTACTATAGGAGCACAATAACACACTTTTTTTAAACAATAATTTTCACACTTCGACTAATTGAGATGAAAATATGTTGGACTTTAATTGACGGGACCATAAACTCCTTTCGACTAAACAGGAGTCTCAGTAAGTCAAAATTTGACCTACGCGAAGTTAAAGTACAAAGAAAAAGAAGGACATTTGACGAGACTTAAGAAATCCTTCGACTAACGCGGAATTTTGAGTAAGGCAATTTCGAGTTACCGAGAGTCAACTGTATATATTATGTTCATATATATATTTTGTTATTTGTCAAGGTACAAGACCTTCAACGGAAATGACAAACAATCCACCTACATCGACAACAAGACAAGATCCGATGTACATCAATGTCGCTGAATCTAGCCTCAATGATCTACCATCAGATCACGTTTATGAACCATTAAGAAAATAACAAATACGCGTAAAACATTCATAATTCACGGTCGTTTTTTTTTTTTAAAGAAAATGCACATTTTTCTACAAAACTAGAAGTGAACTTTAAAAAGCAAATATAGTGTTTTTACAGCTTTAGTTTGTGTTAATGTACGAACTAGGTTATCTAAACAATTTTATAGAATATGTGAATTACAATTCGTTCTGCTTGTGTTATAATTTGAATTTTATTATAGTTGTTATCCATTATTTATCGCATGGTTTCGAACGTTTTCTTTGTTCTTACTAACCCATTATACTCAGTACACTTTCAATGAGCATTTATATAGCAGTTGATTTTTTTTTTTGCACCTTGCATATATCAGTGTAGTTTTTTCACAGAGGTTCCAATCCAATGGGGCTGGGGTAACGAACATTCCCAGTAGCAAAAGAAAGAAAAAGAGAAACAATGTATATATTTTTATTTTTTTATTTCGCTGATTTCTGTTACAAAACAAAAAACAATAAAACAACAACAACAAAAAGAAAACATTATGCCATTGCGATAAAACAATTATAGTATATGGAAATCGTTAGTTACGAGGATATAACACTGGCTGGGTAACATCTCGGGATGTTTCTGCAAGAAAAATGTCTCGGCCTGACGGCCTCGCCATTTTTTTTAGCAGAAACATCCCTTGATGTCGCCCCAGACAGTGTTATATCCTCGAAACTGCCTCGTTTCATATACTATAACTATTACATTTTGTTTATAATTCATTTGATGTATAGAATGCATATTTTTTCATTTATTTATTTCTGTTGCTACATTGATTAGTTCTTAGGAAAAACTGCATGTATATAGAGTTTATCTTACAGTACATGGAGCTTGTTACTCAGTTGATAGATCGATGGGTGGGTGAGTGAGTGAGTTGGTGAGTGAGTGAGTGAGTGAGTGAGTGAGTGAGTGAGTGAGTGAGTGAGTGAGTGAGTGAGTGAGTGAGTGAGTCGGTCGGCAGGTAGATACAATTGAGTTAATGCCGTCTCTCAGTTCTCTCTGGGATTTTTTCTCCGTCAATTATATACAAATGTATAAGTGTATTGATTTTATTAAAGTGTTCATGTTCCAAATATTTTATAATGTTTTTTTTTGTTTTGTTTTTTGGTATGGTGAATTGATATCATGATATTTTTTTTCTATAGAAGGTTGATTTATGTATGAAATTATGTTGGATTGCCACTGAAGAAAATTGAAAATTGGAAAATAGGATATGTACGATGTCCTTTTTCGTCCAAAGAATTTCGCTAGTAAACAGGCGATAATCATCCCCTTTTCTTGAAAGATTTTTTTTTTTTTGGGCCTTTTTTTATCCCTTATAGAAAAAAATTCCGAAAAATTTTTTTTTCCCTATAAATTAAAAAATGGTATTGTTTGGTACTTGGGTTAAACCTTTTTAAGCAAAAATTTCTCGATTTTCAAAAAAATTGCTAAATATTACTTTGAAAATTTTTTAAATTATTATTTTCCAACCGCCAAAAATTTTTGTACGTTTTATTCGCAGTTTAAATTTTTTCCCAAAATTTTTTTCAAGTAACCACTGCGCTGATCAACTTTTGCGGGTAACCTTCAACCATGTCTGTCAGACACTCGCTCAATCGTATTTTAAATCTATAAGAAAGAGAATTTCAAGGAAATTTATGAGTTGACAAATCTAATTTCATCTGTTCTTACGACACTTGATATATTGTCCTGGCAACAGGGAACACTTTCAGGGCTTAATTACTTTAAGTAATTAAACAATTAATTATCACATTTATTCTTTCGATTATTTTATTTCCAGTGTCAAGAGCTTTTCCAAGTATTTCTCTTTATCCATATGTATAGTAACATCTAGGGGCTAATATACATGATATTAATCAGAATAAACACTTTAATGTCAATAGAATAAGGTAGATATTACATCACGTGAGTATCGTTGTTTAACTTAACGGACACTTAATAATAAGAGTATGTAATTAAGAGACAGTAGTTGTGTTAAGTGGATGTTTGTATGTAAGACACTTGAAGTTGTTGAAATCCCGGCCTGCTTTACTTAAGATTAAAGGAAAAGAAATAAACTGAATAAACTGAAATAATCTTGTCTTATTTTACAATCATTATTGCTGTTAAACTCGTGTATTGAAAATGCCAGTTTTGGTCACAAGTGGCTCTAAGTATTTAACATCTTAAGTTGTTGAAAGAAGCGTGAAATGGATGATAGTCAGGTAAAAACTGAATAAAAATTGTATGATTCTGACTAAATTGGCTAATTTCAGTAAAAGTAAAGTTCCAGTTGAATAACCACATAAAATATAATATTGAGAGAAAGAAAAAATTTAATGTAATGCCATAATTTTTTTTTAATTTTCCATCATTTAACATATTGTTGTGATATCGTTAAAGCAGCATGCCCCAAGATCCATGTTTACTTTCATAACAATTAGCAAAATGAATTTATTAACGGGTTTTCTTACTACAGTAACTAAGTAGTTTTCCAGCGACAAGGTTCGAAAGCAGACGGAACTTTAGTTATTGCTGAGGTATCTTTCATTGGAAGATATATGGTCTAAGATGACGCAATTTCTTTATAAATGAACAAAACAATATATAGCAGATACGTATGAATGTAGAACCAATAGTAGTATTTCTAAGCTATCGAAGATCCTCATTCACATATCTTTGCATAGCCGATATAGCACCGTCTGGAACTGCGCAACACTTCTAATACAAATGGTTATATTTCCCATGCAGGAGAAAACATAACTGTTTTATAAATAGTCAATTGTGAATAAAATAACAGAACAGAAATTGATTGGAATATGGCCCCGATTTTATTGCGCATTTTGGTGAAAACAAATATCATCGTCAAAAAATATGAAATGAAATAAAAATTGTAATGAGAAAAAATATGAAAGACAGCTCCCAGCTAAATGCATGGATAGCTACACTGCAACGCAAAGTGCTGTAAACTATTATAATAATCTTTGAAAATGCTAAACTAGGCTTGCCGCTACGAAATCTACCATTAAGAAAGTAAAGCGGCGTGGCACTGTACAAGAGTAAAACAATAATAAAGCTAAAGATAAATCGGGGCAAATTGCTCCCATTAAATCTCTTAACAATAAGATATTTCTTCTTGGCGACAACATTTTTGTGTTGAGGGCCACTTAATATTTTAAGAAATGAAATTCGCCATTTTTCATTATTTGTTAATTATTTTCATAACTCCTGCGCCGAAACGGTAAAATGTTTATTGGATATGAGTCTGATATCGACTACACTGAAATATGTATCAGTGAAAATGAAGGAAAAGCGAGAGAAGTTTATGTACACATTTTTAATAAAATAAAATAAGTTTTAAAAAACAAAAAGGGGATTGGAATCTTAGCAAATATTGCTTATATAATATACATCGCAATCCATTAATAAACCTGAGCTAAGCATAAGGACGGTAGGACAGGGGGACTTACATGTCTGTTTCAACAAAGCCGGGTGTTAGAGGTATGTAGCAAAGACAACGCGGCGATGAAGCGATATGTACGGACCAACGCGTACATATTTAACCCTGCTTATTCAACTTTCGACTAGCCACTTTAAGGCGTTGGCCGGCAAGTTGTTTTTTTTGCAACCCTGTCCCAATAAGACACAGGCAAATTTATGGACAGCTAAATGGCCGACCGCACGGTCACAGGCCCCCTCTAACGGTTAAGGGCGCACGCCCAATAACACCAATATAAGAGATAACCGCCGAACGCAAGGTGCTGTAACAAACGGTTAACCTAGGAAAAAGTCAGCACAAAGATACTGCTGCGATATCATGACTTTAAGAATATACTAATAACTAGATGTGCCAAAACCATTTTTTCAACCTTTTTTTTTTTTTTTTTTTTTTGACTCACGACGCGGATATTTAAAAGTTTTTTTAAAAAAATAAAAAGCAATCGTTCTCCCGCTTTTCCTTCTTAAACGATGCACATACGTTGTAGCATGCCGATAGATTCTATGCAGCCACACAGTACACTTAAAGCATTATGTTTGGGGACAATCTCTGGAAAAAAGATTTGCTTGGTAGAACCAATTGACCTTTTCAAATAAAACGGCTTTAGTCATCACGATACATAGGCAGTAAGACGATCAAACGGGAAAATAAAATGAACTTAGATAAAGAGACTATTGGCTAAAAATTTCTAAAGGGAAACAAACAAAACTTGACAAACACAACGTAGCACTTTAAAACAGATCACTTCCCACAAAACGTGTAACACTGAAGTGCCTTTAAACAGACCAAAGACACTACAAACCAGGTCGTCGGTTCGAATCCTTGTTTATCTTTAATATACATATATTGAAGGAAGTAGAAGTTTCAATTTCTTATTATTTAACGATAATTGGCCCTTGTTTATTATCTATTGCTTAATTCAATAACAAATATGATAGACAAAATACTTTAGAGAAACTTTGGGTTATATCTAATTAAAACGACATATTTAATCAATGTTTAGAATTTGACAATGTTAAACACGAAAACACTTGACGTACGGATGTTCAAATAGGAGGAGTCATATAAGAAACAACAAATTAGCTTGAGTGGCCTGTTACACGAACATAACTACCTTACAAATAACACTGCATAATAATGTATATATTGACAGATTATTCTTATCTTCTTTTTGAAGAAGGGGCCCTTACGTCAATGACCCGGTTCAGAAAAGTAGTCATAAGTAACAAGACGTACCTTTAAAACAAAATAAACTCGGCCGAAGTAAAACTGGTAAATTGGCATAGTTTAGTTCTTAGCTTTCCATGCAATGCCATAGAGAAATCTTAGCAAAGCTTGCATAACAATGACATAATTACGTACATAATTTCTTGTAAGGTTATTAATCTTGAAAAATGAACACTTTAAGATGTATGAGTCTCTAAACAAACCGGTCATGTTTAAGTGAACTCAATTTCTGACACCAACATCTACGCATTTCTTTGGGGTCCAACGGTCTTTGGGGTCAAAATCGACAAATTGACCCAAAGGTGCGTTAATATGCTACATATCAACGCACTTTGGGTTCCGGAGGTCCAAAGGTGTCATCTGAGTTCTGCTTAAATACTGAGTACTGACTTATTTTCGATCTGCGACATTGAAATATTTGAGGTAGATTTTAAGATGGCGGATGCTTAAGTGATAAAAGTTTCTTTAATTTTACCACTCGAAATAACTAAAAATTGTGTTTATATAACAAAATTACGATGATCAGTTATTATTCCATGAATATGCTTCACTCAACCCCAACCCTTTGAGAATAGCGGGTGGACATTAATTTTAAACCAAGCCGACCACTGGTAAAATCTTCGCCCTGCGGGGATACTCAGATAATAACATTCCTGAACAACGCAAACATCAAAACACGATTCTTTTTTAATCCGCACTCCCCCGGGGGCAAGGGAGTGGGTACAAATGACTGGTGTTTTAAAAATTTCACAATTAAAGATCTAACTAGGTCCTTATATTCCACTGATTTAGAAAAAATGCTTTAAGCTTTGAAGGATTTTTATGAAACTTGGATCAATTCTTTAACACATCCAGGTAATGTGCAGAACTTATATGCCAGGTGTGCCAGCTCAAGGTCGGAGTCACACCTACAGGTCAAAGACTTGGGTTTCATGTCCGCTCCTTATCTCCTCAACCCCATGAAGGATCTTAAGGGGGATACGGACAAAAGCTCCCTGGACAAAAGCCCCCCCCCCATCTCAATATGACATGGTGGACAAAAAGCCCCCCCCCCATGAAATTTACACATAGGACAAAAGCCTCCCCCCCATCAAAATTACAAATAGGACAAAAGCCCCCCCCCCCCCTCCAGTCCATCAAATAATTGTAATTGACAATCTCGTCAGTTTAAATCCGGAACTTGATGTATTGAGACAAATCAAAATCAGTATGTTTAATTTAACAAATAAATGCAATTGTTTTAAAAGATAATTTAATTAAGATTAATATCTAAAGGTTCAAAAGCTTAAATTTGATTTATTGTGTAATTCGTATATAATTTATTGATGATATGAATGTTTTTATGTTTATTATATATTGTAGAGTACAAATTTAATGTAAATAAATACTTTCAGAGAATCGCTTATCAACGCTTATCAAGGAAATAAAAGTTAAAGCGCATACTCGTTTAGATTCATTTTAAATATAACACAAGTTCCCCGAACCCTGGGCATGTGAAAAAAGATAGTTATCAGACTGGTCTATAAACCTGAGGGGGCTTTGTCCAGGAGGGGGTGGCTTTTG